TCTGCTTCTCCCTCTGACCCTCCTCCCTCTCATGCTCTCTGTCTCTCATTCTCTCTGTCTCAAATAAATAAATAAAAAAAATCTTAAAAAAAAAAAATCTCAATTTTTCTAGACATAAATAAATACCCAAAAAAATTAAAAATCTCAACTTTCCTGCATCACTGAGGAGTTCTCACTGACACTAAAGGCAAAGAAGTTGGAGGAAATGGCATTATGATTATCATTAATTATGACTACAATCAATTCCCCCTCGAGTTCTTTATCAGAGTTGCCCCTCTATCGCTTGCCCACCTAATTCCACAACCTCTATATTTAGAGCCGAAGCATACACACCAGCTCTGCCAACTCAGACAGAAGTTGACTTTCTGTGCTAACATTGTCCTGAGATCAGACAATCCTTGAATCTGACAGTTTATGTTGAGTTTACAGAGCAGTAAGTCAGAAATTCTTGCCAATGGAAACTTCAGCCCAGTGACACACTGCTTTCATTATGCTGGTCTCTCTCTGTCATACTCTCCCCATCTCCTTCCTAACAATATCTGATGGCTTTTCTCATTCAGTGTTTGTGCAACAGGCACCCACACACCTATCGCCAACATCAAATTCTGATGGGTGAACCCAAGCCCCTTCTCCCCCGCCCCCACTCCAAGATCTTATTTATTTGAGAGCGAGCGCACGCATGCGTCAGCAGGTGGAGGGGCAGAACGGGCGGGAGAGGACAAGCCGACTCCACCCTGACTGCAGAGCCCAACTCAGGGCTCGCGTCCGACACTCAACCGAGCCATGTGGGCGCCCAGAACCCAAGTCCCTTCTGACTGTTTATTCTGTGAGCACCCAGCACCATTGGGTATCACTGACTTGTATACTATTTATTTGAAAGCCTGCTTTATAATTAAGTCAGTTCAGTGGACTGCCAAATTCTTTTTTTCTTCTCTTCAGTAGCTCTCCTTCCCATTGCAAGTTAATTAACGTCAGACCAGGAGTTCTTATTATGTTCCCAAAATAAATACAGAAACTTCAGTAGATAAACTTAGTGCATAAAAATCTAGCTGGTTCATTTGACTTCACAGCCCATCCTAGCTCTATCTTCTCAGTGGACAGATACTGACCCATCACCAAAAAAGCCAAAGGTGGCTGAGAGATGGGTCCCTGTAGCATTTTCCCATTTAAAGAGAACTGGGACACTGGGGTGGAGGAAGAGGTGTGCGAAAGAAATGGTTGGCCAAAAAACCTGAAGAGAACTTCAGCCTCACCACCGTGCTCAACTACAGAACTTGGGAAGGGTTTAATGGATTTTTGAAAAGTTTTAGTTTAACCACATTATCATGATTTCCATGGGGGGGAGAGAGAGAGAGAGAGAGAGTGTGTGTGTGTGTGTGTGTGTGTGTACACACACATACATAGATATTTTTAAAAGATTTACTTGAGAGAGTGGGGGGGGTGCACAGAGGCAGAAGGAGGGAGGGAGAGACAAATTCTCCAGCAGACTCCCAGGTGAGCGCAGAGCCTGATGGAGGGCTCAATCCCAGGACCCTGAGATCATGACCTGAGCCAAAATCAAGAGCTGGACACTTAACCGACTGAGCCACCCAGATGCCCCGCTTCTATGGGAAAATGTATTTTGAACCCCTAACCTCTGGCTTAAAAAAACAAATTTTGGAAGGCAGCCCCTTACAACTAATCCAAGATAATAAAAGAGAGGGAAAAGCCCATGAGGTAAGGGCTACCATAAAAACAGAACACAGACGCAAAGTTTGTTACAACGCACAGCAGAGGGCACAGAGATGGTGGTGATATAAGCCCATACCCAACGTTTAAAGAAGAAATCGGAATCCTCTAAGACCTACATTAACCAAACTCTTAGTTGGCTAGATTTTTTTCCCTAAGAGAAAGAGATAAATCCTAAGAAAACAAGTAGGTGCTGAGGATTAACATGACAATGCCCCAAAACCTTCCAGGTTAAGTAGTATCTGAAGGCTATCAATAGCTTAGCCCAATTTCCTATCAATTTGTTACGTAACACCATTAGATGTTCAAAGTGGTTACCCTGGAGATACAGCAGAATCACCTGGGAAGGTAAAAGCAGCAATATCTAGAAAATGACTAAATTACAGACAGAAAAATGAACATTTTTGCAAAGGTTGAATGTTTGTATCCCCCCCAAATTCCTACGTTGAAGCCCTAACCCCCCAGTGTGATGCTATATAGAGGTGGGGCCTTGGGGAGGTAGTTAGGTTTAGCTGATGTCATG